TTCTTCTCAGCCTTCTTGCCTTCCTCATCCTTCTTTTCTGGCTCTTCATCTGTCTTGGCTGTCTTCTTTGATTCCTCGCTGGAGCTTGCGATCCCCTTAGAGTCCTCGTTTGCTTTGGATTCGTTCTTGTTTTTCTTTGTTTTTTTATCATTCTTCTCAACCTTCTCTTCATCAGCCGGTTTTTCTTCAGTTGCCTTCTCTTCACATTTCTTTTCTTTCTTGTTTTTCTTCTCAGCCTTCACGCCTTTCTCACCAGTCTCTTCTGGTGTGATGTTCTCCTTCTTATGATCTAGCTTTTGTTTCTTCTTGTCCTTTCCCATCACCAATCCTGCGAGATCGAGAGCGAAGATAATTTAGGTTGCATGTGGCAAAGATTAATCTGATACTCTCGAGCTATGAAACCATGTTTGATTCGCGTTTTGTTCAACCATGGTCCTCAAACGCGAAACCAGCTTCTCCGGCAAATTGACAAAATGTCAAAATTTGAGCCCCCCTGTGACACGCAAGTGACACGTGGCACCTTCGATATCAAAATGACCTAAGTGACCTTTTGATATGTTAAGTGACCTTTTGATATATGTAAGTGACCTTTTGATATAGGTGTGCCCCAGACCAGTGACACGCGATTGACACGCAGTGACACGCACCCCAAAAGCAAATTGTCCACATCAGTTCCGTCAGGTTTCATCTGGCACTTCAACTCGAGTTCGGATTCCCAGCTTTCGATTTTTCACTTGGAGAGCCGATGAACGTGCTATGCGTTCAGAATTGGCAAATTTGGTGCGATAAAAGCTAATTAGCCGGATGGGCAGATCCAAGGTAGATCATCTACTGCAGCGGGGCATCGTTTGTGCTTTCAGAGCTGGATTCACTATCGCTGTCAATATCACATCTGCAGTCCCGGGAGATTTGAAGAAGATTGCCATAAGACTGCCTGCAAATGGAGGTTTATATAGCAAATGCATGGGTGGCCAAGTTTGATATTGTTGCACTTTCAAAAACACTAAGGAATGAACGGATCCAAATAGTCTTTTAAGAGCTCTGCCCAACATGAAAGGCAAATCTTCTCGTCGGCCAACACTTCAAGATAAGCCACCCATTGCGCCAAAGCTGCCATGTTATCGTGAAGAGGAGTTGATATATACAACTCACTGTGCCAATGAACCAGGCTTGAGATGGCTTTGGGGCATCCCAGAAATGAAGCCTCAAATTAATATACATGTTTCGCGGGGCTACTATGGTTTAACATGTTGGTTTCTGAAGAATTATGGTGATCCCCAAACCATGCACAACCACAACCATGCATGTGTGAATCTTTGATCACACAGTACCACTTCACCTACAAAGCAACCGCGATCGCTAGCTTTTTTAAACTGGGACTCATCAGAGCTGTCGCCACCAAGTCCTTTCCGGTCCAAGCAGGAAATCGTCCAGCGCCCCTTCGTCCGGTTGCGATATCTTGTCATCAAGCTGAAACTCCTGAGCTCAGCAGCCACGACGGTTGTCGATTATATATATCGACCGGGTATGCATGGTTTTCCTCATAGCTATAGATCTCGAGCGATCCGTCTATTGTTTCCAACTATATAGTTCTGATATATTTTTGGACCCTGGTTCGAATCTTGATAAGTGATGCAATCCAGAAAAAACATATACGCACGATTCTTAAAACATGCAAATTAAGATCTTTGTATACTGAATCTGCAAAGTATCATCGATCGATGCTGGATTTTCTCCAGGGTTAATGAGGGATGCAACAGCTAATCCAAATTGAATTGGATACGATGCGGATTCTCGGAGACGTTGCTTGTTGCCTGTGACCTGGGGCTTGCCGTTCTTGCCAGTGGATTTGATCACCAGCTCCCGTGATTTCGTCCTGTGGGCTCATAGATTACTGAGCAAACATCATATTGCACAAGCATTATGGGTTGTGAAAAAACGGGATGGGCCCTCTTGGCTTTCATGGATCGATTTGGCCATGAACCAACAAAGGAACTTATACAATCTTAGATCGACAGCCCATTGCGGCGAAGACTTATAAGTTATGATGGTGTGCGACACACCCTAGCAGCCCCCAGCACTCTCCTCTTCAGGCTTTTCTTCAACTCCACAATTGGCAAAGGACGGTAGAGGGTCTTCAGGTTGTCGATTGTGCCCCACAACCTGGGATATCGAGATGAATATGGTGTACTCTGCATGTCTATTCTTTGCCTTAAGTTTTGGAATATACAATCCACGGTCGATCACCTATAATATATTCGTTTGACTTCCCATGAATTAAAGTGCAATCTAGACACACAGTCCACTTCATTGTTTCAGACCCATAAGCTGCCATAGCAAAGGAAACACGCCTGCACAGAGGGAGAAGCCACCAAACATATATAGTGATGGTTTAGCGCCTGGCGCCAGACCAAAGGAGAAAATCCCGCATGGGTTGCCATGCCCAAAGAACCTGAAAGGTTTGGGAAAGGCCATATTCATTCCTATATCTTAAGATACCAAACTTTTGGCATGTCTCTCGACTAATCCAATCTCTGTCTAGAAACTGAAGAGGCTGGCTGCTCCAGCAAATTTCCGAACACCGCGCTTCACAGCAAAGTATAGTCTTAGATTGTATGGCAAGCTAAGATAGCAAGTTGCAGATCGCAAGTTGCGCATGGACTGCATTTTAAAGACAAAAAATGCCAGGAAGCATGTATATCAACCTCCGGATCAACACATTCTGACGTAGCACATTGCGGTTATTCCCATCTCCCTCTGGCATGGCCCATGTACGACGTGTTTTGGATCTAGACAGAAAGATCCAAGAGCAGCACGGCGGTCCACAGACCAGGACTCCTCCTCGTCGAGTGTTTGCAACCTTTCACGAGGCGTGCCAGAAGGGTTTGAAGGCAACTGGGAAAAGTTAGTGGGCATGAAGCCAGTCTCCATGCAATGAGTCTTGCTAGAAAAAGGTTGGATCGATGTATATATATATAGTGCTAGCAAGGAGCAGCTGCTATGATAGTCAGAAAGCCAATGGTCCGCATAAGATCGTGATTGCCACTATACAATACCTTAGCGAGATGGTGGGTTGACACTTGATCAATGGGTTGCTCTCCAAATAATATGTGCAATATGAACTTAAGCTACATCAAACGATTTCCCTCGCCATCCAGACAGCCGCATCCCACGGCTTAGGTTCGCTTCTCCAGCACATAGTTCCACCTAGGATCCATGGAGCCCTGTTGGAGTGTATGCATTGGTCTCGATGTTAGTTTTAGTTAACCATCGAGATTCCAGCTCTTTTAGATTAGGTAGCTAGCAAATTGCAGCTAGGTTACAAAATCATTTGGACATGTCGGAGTCGGCAGTTGGGCCAGCAATTGGAAAATCACAAGCAAATTGCTTGGCTTCATCACTCACAGCTGCCAACACTACAATTGAGCCTTTGAACCTGCTTTGTGAAAGCCAATCGCCATCCAATGCAAAGGATCACTGGCCTCGCTTTGACAACAACCCACTCATATGTATAGAGAATTATAAATCGAGGATCGGTTTTATTTCTCCTAGTGCACAAGTCAAATCAAAATGGCATACTATAGCCGGTGGCGCACACTGTGCACAAAAGTGTTAACTCTTTTCCCAACATATGTCTATCTGCTGACCCTCTATTGCACACGAATTTTCTTCATGTGTAAACTGGCAGCCGCGACCTCAAAACTGGATTTGAAACCTCAATCAATTGCTCATGAGCTCAGCAGTCCAAAGATCGAGTTATTATTGTTCACAAACCCAATATTCAAGCTTTTGATCGAGGTTCGACAGCGAGGTTAGGGCTAGCTCGGGTTAATGGGACCACATGGAACTTTTCACAGTTTGGTCCACCCCATCAAAAAATGCTCAGGCTGCTACACTATTCTACTTTCTGCACTTTGCACGGCTTTTCCGTGGTTTTTTGACGGTTTTGCGAACACGGTTTGTTCGACCATCATGAAAACCTGCACAATCAAAACCATTGGCCTTGGCCTTGCTCAAACTGTAGTGTTTTCTACCTTCACTGTCGATAAAAACTTTGTACAACTGCCCCATGAGTTTGCCACTCATGCGCTTCCGGGTTTCCACTTTCCAGTCCTGCGCAGCGTGATAAGTCTTGACGAGCTCGTACTTCCTTGGATGAAAGTGTGGGCATGTGTGGTATATATAGTATATATTGTAAAAGATATTAAGCTAAGTATCATTTGATCGGCATCACGTTTTTTCTTTTTTTGTTGCAGGAGTGCCAGCTGTTCTTGGGGACAAGGAATTTTTGTTGATGCCCGATCCAAAGCCACCTGTTGCACCCGACTTATAGCAACACGGAATGATGACAGCACGAAGTCCTTTGCGTCCACAACTTCAACCAATGAATTCTTTTCCTCCTAGCAGGGAGTGTTAGGTATGATCCATCATGCAAAACAGTTGCATATGCGCAGCCTTGATCTAAACATCATATGTGCCAGGACAAACCATGCGCATGCAGCTATGCCAACTCTGCAAGATCAAGGCGCCTTCTCATCCGGGTCGATCTTTGGCTTTAGATTCCCAGTGGCCTTTGACTTTTCATATTCCAACGTAGGCTTTGGTGAAATCTTCACTGGGCTTCCTGGGGGCCAGTTGAGAGTTTGTGATATTAAAATTGTTTTATTGGGAAAACAAAAATTATCATATCGATCACACTGGCCTATATATATATATATAATGATCTCGAGGGCACTGCTGGAATCGACGGAACTGGTTCGAAGTTGACATTAACCTCCCACCCACACCAAACTGCATACTAGGCACTGAAGCTTTTCTGTCGGCGACGGTGAGTAGGAACTGGGAGGACTTGCGCTAGAGGCATTTCCGGCGTGGGCTTAGGATCTTTCTTTTCTTCTTCAATCTCCTCCATGAGAGCATGATTGTCCACAGTAGGTGTTGATTTCCACCGTGTGATCTTAGCTTGCTTCAACACTCTTTTGCGAACTCTCACACTTGTCACATCACGAGGAAATGGATACATGGGACCTGGTTTCATCCACCTCCTGATATTGCTTTTGGGAAATTCCGAGCGGACCGCCAAAAGCCCAGCCTCCTCAACTGCCTCCTCAGCTTTTTCATCTTTTTCTATACTGGAGCTGGAGCTGCTGCTCAAGGTGCTACTACTGCTCCCACAGCTGTTTTGGGTTGCAGTGCTTGTGTCCGAATCACTGTCGATACATTCTTCACGGTCACTTTTCGATCTCGACTTTGATTTTGCTTTTGCTTTTGCTTTACTCTTTGGCACCACTTTCTTCAGCTTTTCTTCAGCCGGTTCAACCCTCACCTCATTGAGTCGGGCTTCAATCTGTTTCATACTCATTCCTGCCGTAGAAAACCCAACTGCTGCAGCTGATGGCTTTCCCATCTTCCAGCACTTATTTGGCTCCAGAACCTCTTTCTTCTCATGTCGATCTCCTTTCTTTTCCTCCTCAACCTTCTTTTCTTCATCGCTAGAGACTTCAACCATCACTTCGTCTCCTCCGGCTTTCTTTTTCTCCTCAACCTTCTTCTCAACCTTCTTCTCCTCTTCTTGGTCATCATCACTCGAGTCTT